TCTATCCTGAAACATACTTGAAGCCAGTGTAAGGAGGCTGAAACGGGAGTTTGGTTTAAAGTCTGGCTGCTGAGTTCTGCACAATCTGGAGTGTATCAATTGATTTTTGATTCAAGCAGGTAAAGAGACTGCTACAGTAATCTAGGCTTGAGGAGATCAAAGCATGCATAATGTTCTCTGTGTCTTTAAAAGAGAGGATTGATTGTATTTTAAAAATACTTCTAATATGATAAAAACAAGACTGCACAAGGTTTGTGATGCAAAACCTACATCACTGTCAAATCAGACGCCAAGATTCTTCACGACAGGTTAAAATTGATCCAAAGATAACATTTGTGTTGCCATGTGATGAGACCCGTTTACAAGGATGTCAGTTTGGTCTCCTTGAGATGACACCAAAAGACAGAAACAACTAAAGTTCTCCAGAATGCTTGGAATGACCTACCTGCAGCGTAACCGTGACAGGCGTGCCTCGAAGAACTGGTGGAGAACTGTGATCACACCAAATATCAATCAGGTTGAGTTTCTTCCTGTTGACTGTAATTTTTTTGGAAGATAACTAAAAAAAAACACATGGCATTATTTTTGAAAGCATTCAAATGTTCTCACATAAACTTGAATTCATGGTCAGATTGGGAGCCATGCTGGTTGTTCCTTAAATCAAGTGTATGAATAAACACACAGATTTAGAACTGTATACAATATTTATTGACAATGTATTAATTTCCATTGGTTCTTCATAACAAAGACAGACACTGACTTTTACAGGGCTTATCTTTGAGAAGGGTACAGCTCCGGGTTTCTGGGAATGTTCTCGTGAGTGGCACATACAAGGATTTTTTTTTTTTTTTTCAAGGTGGAGGGTGTTGAGAGGGTAAGAAGGATTGATGCTGCTCGGAGTGAAAGTCCAGGGCAGCAGGAGGCTAAGGCTTCTTCTGTGAGTGTGTGCAAACATACACTGTCACCAAGATGTGTCATTTAGGCTTTTAGGATGTCAGTCTGTCCCTACTCTCCAGAGAAGACTCCACTGTCTGATAAAAACCTTGCATTTCCAAAAATCTTAACTTTCCAGGAATAAAGAAGAAGAAAAAAAAAAGGAAAAAAAAAAAAAAAGCCATTTTCAAACCATCGATAACCATGTATTTTTTTTTGTTAGTTTTCTTTTTTTGCAATTTTACACAAGGTATTATGAAAGGATTTCATTAGCATACAAGATCTCAGTATCCCTACAGGACAATGTAATCATTCTGTATAGTAGAAATATGAAAATTGCCAAAATTGGGTGTACAAGGTTTTGCCAAACAAACAGTGTTTGCAGTTTTCTTTTTTCTTTTTTTTACACTGGAATATAGAAGTATAAAAATATATGAAACAAAAAAGCGCTGTGAAGTACAAACACATATCCAAAGTGTAGAACTTATGAAGCAGAACTTTCTTGCCAGTTGCCAGTGTGCTTTGGAAAACACATTACTGTCTGGCCAACATACACCCGCTACACACTCGCACACTCAAATGCACCATGTCATACCACATACAGTATTATTCAGAAGATTAAGAAAGATATTTATATCGGGTAGCTTGAGACACGTCTATGGCTGAGGTGGATTTTTAGAGACTTTACAAAGAGTTCAATATTCTGCTTATGCGGAGAAACTGTGCCATACTGTTAGTACTGTAAATGTGTACCGTGTACAGTATCATGGGATGTGTGTTGAACAGAGAAACCAAAGAAATTGTCAAGAAAAAAAAAAAATCTGAAACAAGCTCACTAAGCTACTTTTCCGTAAGTACAATTATTGGGTTGGAATTTGTGGTGCTGTGTAAAAAAATCGTGCAGACCTGAGATGGTTGAATTTAGGCCTGATACGAAGGCGTCACTTGCCTTTTTATCGCATGACCTTTAGTGTTGCGTGTGTGTGTGTGTGTTTTTGTAAAGGTGGCGTACATTAAGCTGTATTTAGCTAATATCATTGGTACAAGAAAATTGTTACACTTTTGCTGACACATTACAGCAAATACATGCTGCAAAAGAATATCAACTACATTCATGAATACGTGTTTACATTTTGGCAAAAGAAACAAAGACGTGTGCTTCGATGAATGAGCAGAGAGAAACAAAAAGTGATCAAGTGACATTGTAAAATATAGTATTTACATCGTTTCGCCTCGGCCTTCTTGTTCTGGTATTGTTACGGTATAAATGATACTGAAGTATCCTTTTGTTTGTCATGTAGAAAGCTCATACGTATTTATGTACAGGACTAATATGCTCCAATTTATTGTTATTATTAATATACTATCTGATATTTACATATTTAAATATATATTTTTTAGAACATAATCCCAAAATTTACAATGCCAATAATTCGTTTTTGAATAGAACTCTGGATACACCAACTTGATCCCTTCGTGGATGTATTTTAAACATACTTACAAAATAAAGTTGGAGAGAAAGGTCTATAAGAAACATGAAACATCAGAAGAATCGTTGACATAATCACCAAAAATATTACAAAAAATACAACAATTCACTTACTATGTGATGCTCTCATAACTAGAAACACAATGTGACGTTGACCAGTGAGGTGAAAGCCCACAGTTCAAACCAAACTGGGCTTTATTGTTAGCTAGAACGTTGCTCAGTGTTTAAAGTTTAGTCGTCAGGCAGTGGTTGTGAAGATGCATCTTCAGCTCATTCTGTAAACAGTCAGAAACTGTTAGGTAAATGCTTTTCAGAGAATATTTTCAATATCATCAATATTTGTAACATCAGACATACTTTGTTTATATACATATATATATATATCTGTACTTACATACATATATATGCGTATTCGTGAGATGAGCTTAAACACAAAGAGCACAAATCAAATGAAACAACAGAAAGGATGGCGTGATCAAAAACAGAATATCAAGGAGTTACTACTGTACAGAGCATGCAGTGAGTCAGAACTGTATGTGGCTACGCTTTAATTAAACATCACAATATCAATGTTTGAGGATTCACTCGCACCTCCGCAATCAAACCGAATGACACAACCGGGAGAAACGAACCCTTTGTGTTGAGATCTTTGTTGTTTTGAGTAAAAAAAAAAAGGAGATGAAGGCTCCATTTATCTGAAGTTCGCTTCTAAAGATGCTCATATAGGTACAAGTTCACATTTGCTACTCATTGTGACCACCTTTTTCTCATAACAGTGACAGTTTCACTCTCTGATGACTAATTTGTGTATCCGGAGGCCGCGGTTCATTCATTCGGATGTTGTGTCAGATCTGCGAGAAGGAGGAGGAGGGGATGTATGACACTCTGGTGTATTTCAGCCCTATGTTTGGTTTAACATTTTAACCTTAACTGAAACGTAAATTGTGATAATATTAATAAAGTTCCTCTGAAGACAACCCCCTGTAAGCACCAGGTATGAGAAGAACTACGGTACAGCCTCTATGGCTTCGAAGGAGTTGTGTGCAAAACCACTTATAAAATCGTACTTGTGACCACACAGTCAAAAGCACAGCATTGTTAGTAAATTATCTGGTATAAGGTTCTTTGTGGATTGAAGTCGTTTATGATTATCAACCTTTTTTTTCAATGTGGAAACAATACATTACTAAGAATCTGTAATATTTATATTAAAAAAAAAAAATCTGGCTTGGGAGGCAGATACAGTTTATAAACCTATTAGAGAAATCATCATCACACAAAATTAATATTCAAATAATGGTGTCAGTCAGTGATAGTAGTTGATTTTTGTGCTTTTATGCCTTCTTGAGAACCAAGCAAGTCCTTTTTAGCTTCACTATTTTGTGTTTTTCCTAAACCACAAAAAATTAATAATCGTAGTTCATAAAGTGCCTTTTTTTTTTTTTTTTTTTTAGCAGTTGTGAGAATTTTTAATCAGCAATGTAAGTATTTATCCAAGAAAGTGAGATTAAAGAACTGAAAAGGGAATTTTGTGGGTCATATTATCCCTTTAATAAATGCTATACAAGTTAATATTTACATATACAGTTGCTTATATACTAAACTACTTTTCTCACATATAGTCTTCCCCAAAGACCATGTATATGTGCTCTGGGGTAAAATTAAATATTCATAGCGTCAGTATATAGTATATAGATAAAGCCACTGTGGCTGAAGACAAATATTAGATTTTTTTTCTTTCTTACATGTTACTCTCAGATTTTTCATTGTGTTGACACAGTGGACATTAATGACAATCCAAGTTGGCTCTACTTGCTTTATGCTCCTTTACATTATCCAACCGGTTTGCTGAGTGCAATCTGAATTGACACCTGGACGTTTTGGAATGATACTATTTGATATTACTCATAATCACCATATCAAAAATGATACATAAACTGAGATCATACTTAGAAATAAATTATGTAGTGCCCCCAGTACATTATAATAGAAAAAGGTTGGTTTGAAATGAAATTATTTTCACATTATGTGATATTGTACATTGTAAATTTCAGGCTCTTTATATCACATCTTAATCATATCACCATGAAATGAATTCAACAGATTTAGTTTCTCGGATGTAATTAATCTTAGAAAACCCTGTTGACCTGAATCTTGCTTCAGCACTTTTAGGTGGCGTCAGTGAAAGTAAACCGTAATTTCAAACGTCTAATTGATATGATGTTTTGGCAATGAATTATATTTCCTGTAGAATCTAACGTAATAAAAACATTTTTTAAAAAATGCAAACAAACATTTAAAAAAATGGCAAGATACACAATTCACAAAATATGTAACATTTTTAAACAATTGCTCAGGAACAGGCACCTTATATGTTTGTAATCTCTCTTCTATAAGGTTTTATCGTGTTAGCCAGCAACATGTAGTATTCCAAGATATGATGGATCCAGTCCTGAATGCGGGAATTCAGTTATAAGATCACATAAATGTGAGACAAACCAGATACAAAGAAGAAATGAGCAACATGTTTTGCTGTTTGTTCTCGCCCTCACTGATGTCCTTTTTTTCTCTCTCTCTTTTAATTGACATAATAAAGCCAGTAAACAATGTTGAAGAAGGAAAAAACAGTTGGGAAGATCATCCTCGACCATTTGTCAATAGAGTTTACATCAGTCAAGTCTGGGATGGTGATTTTTAGCTGCGAGGCGCGCCTCCGTAGTCGGCTCTTCTTTTGAGTCATGTGGCGCTCTAGCGCATTTCGGCCAAAGTTGTGCCTGGCCAGCCCTGCTTTGCGGTACTGTAGGGTGGAACTGTCGTATGTCAGCATGGTATTTCGTGGGTCATTGAGACCCAGAGCCAGCTCTGAGACGCCCATGTCGTTCTTGATATCCAGGGTGCCCAACAGGATGTTTTCATGTGGGTCCATCTGCCCAAGGAAAGGAGGCAAGTTTGTCTGGTGTCTCAATATCATTCATTCTCTTATAAACTTAATTTTACTGTCATAAATGATCAGATGATGTTCCAGAAAGGTGGAAATTATTGGTCACAATATATTAAACTATAAATCTCTCCTTTTACTAGGAATGGCAAACCTACAAGGAATAATCATTATCTATGGATGCTTTGTCTTTCAGCTCATTTTTATGTGGTGATAATATGTTGCGTTTACATCGTAATAATAGTTTAACTTCATGGACTCTAAGCAGTTTCTGGGTGTACCTTGCCCCTTTCATATTTTAACTCAATGTCAGCTAATTTTTTACTGCAATATAAATTCCTGCACCTCTATGGAAACAGCACAACCACTGTTTGAAGTAGAAAGAACTAAAAAAAAAGTCTTTTGTACAGGAGGACACAGTCATAATGCTAATAAATCCAAAAAATAGAAAACTGAATTTCATAAATTATAAGGTTTCCAAAAATGAAAATGAAAAAAGTGCTAACAGGCATTACTAACACCGTAAAAAAGAAGAAGAAGAAAAAAAAAAACCTCTGCATACTTACACGTTTAAAATCTGTTTCCATGCTTCTTCTGTCTGTTCTATCTGGTCTCCTGTCGAGTTTTACCTGAAAAGTCTGCTTTTTTTCACAGGACTATTGGTCACAGCTGAGCCTCTAATGGCTTCACAGTTGCGCTTCAGAGGAGCGTCGAATTTTATAACTTTTTCCACCAATATCTGGTGAAAGCAAATGGCTAATTTTTGTTGAAGATATGCAAAACAAATTGATTTCAATAAAATATCACAATTTCAGGCTTAGAGTTGGTAAACTTTCTCAATGAAACCCAAAGTCACACATGATGAGTTTTTAGAACCATCAGAAAGTTTAAACTCTGATGATTTTTCCTGTTTGTGGTTCTGATAATGTTTTAAGTTTGGTGATTTTCTGAACTTCTAACATGCCTTTCACACCTGCTGGCAGGTTTTGGTGTTCAGAGGGTTAGTAATATTTATTTTATTTTTAGACTACAAATACAAAGTAGCTGTTTCCCATTTCTAACGTAGGTTTTTGCAGTACCTTATTCTTCTGATCGCCAAGTCCAATTGCTGCATCATCCACAAAGATCGGTTCCCACATGGAGTCGTGGCCATCGAGATCCCTTTGTTTCATTCTTGCATACAGAGTATCATCTCTGCCAACTACGTTCCCCACAAGCCACTGCAAGCGCAATCAAACAGAACAAAATTGCTGTACTTTTGTTGGAAAGGTTGGATTTTTGTAGCAGGGTACTGCATGCTGTACATTTAATAAAGCAATTAGATTCTTGTGTTTATAACTGCAAATACTTACGGACATTAACTACACAGTTTGCTCCTAAATAAAGAGCAAAAACATAAATCCTCTAAAGATGCTTTTCAGAGGATTTAAATTAGTTTTATTTTCCTCCTTTGCCTGCATTTGATGTCACAGGATATTTACACAGCCATTTTTCTGCTCAGTTCTCCTCTGCGTTGTGCACTGAACAGATATCAGCAGTCCGTGTGCAGCCATCTTATGATGCCCATTTGCATCTCTGCTAGTAAGCATTTGCTTAATTTCAGCTGAGAACAGAAAATGGAAACGTGAATGCAACTCTTTCTTTATCATGACAAAGAGCCAAGTGGCTCAGAGACCTTCTTTCTCTGTTTCGGCTGGCAACGTGTCACATTTGGCTTTCAAACAGGGATAGTACAAGCTTATTAGGTTGGTTTTACTTAGCGCAGTGAAGGCAGGAAACATTAGGTCAACCCTCCATTTGAAGTGGCGACATTTCTTTTCTTTGCTTGTAATTATTCTAAGCTCCTTAGACAGCTTTGTGAATAATTAAATTAAGATTGCACTGCAAAGTAAAGAAAACATGTGATTGCATGAATCCAGAACAAAGAAAACTTCTTTCGCTTTGAAATGTGAGCACATCGGCGCTCATGATAGAGGATGTGCTTGCTTCTATGTCGATTTTACTATACATGGAGGTATTTTTTCTGAGCATGATTCTGATGATTTAGTTCTGGTAATGACATATCTCTTCTAGATGTAAGTTGGTCTGCGCCAACTGTTACCTTGTTGGGATCCATCCTCATCTTTTCGTTGTTGGCTGTAGCTATCTTCTCAGCTGCCTTTTTCTGACGCTGAGGCCCTCGGCCAAAGAAGATGTAGTTCACCAGCGCGTACTCCAGCAGAGCCATGAACACGAAGACGAAGCAGCCCATGAGGTACATATCAATGGCCTTGACGTACGGGATTTTGGGGAGAGTTTCCCTCAGGTGGGTGTTGATGGTGGTCATGGTGAGCACCGTGGTGATACCTGGAGGAGAAACACCATATAACAATGAACTGGAAATGGAATGAATCGAAAAAAGTTAAATGTAAAACAACAGAATTATACTATTTTTGTGTAATAACCACAAATGGAAGGGGGAGCACAAAGTTTTATTTTGTATCTTTCTTTTCTATTAAATGAATAGCTTCCACCACATGAAGCCCTTAGTTACTATACTGCTACTGACGGAATGCGTGACAGTTTTAATCCTCCTGACAGCAAGACATCTTTGTGATCAACTTGGTACCATTCCTGTGCTTGATTAAGCCTGCCAGGATCAATGAAAATGAAGGGCTTACCCCCATGACTTTAAAACATGCTTTGGGAGACAAGGTAAAAGACGCACACTTCAAGTGGTGCAGCAATTTGAAATTCAAATGTCAACCTTGATCTTATTCATTAGTGGAGAACTCCTACTGAGAAAAGTTGTAGACAGTTTTCAAAAGCCTCACCCAGCAAGCTGTGGCACCAGTTACTGTCAGATTGACTGTGCATATCAATGCGCTGAGATTGTGCTTATTATGAGTGGCACGCTAACTCTTCCTCGCAGTGATTTCATTTTTGTTTGTTTTTTTTTGTCATTTTTCAGCAAAGCGTTGGCTCTTGAACGCGGTGCGCCTCCAACAGTGTGTCTGTGGTGTTATCCATATACAGGAATTATAAATGGCATGAGAAGCCAGATTGTAACACTTAAATATAATTTCCCATGCATGATTAAATAAGCATATTCAGAGCTCCTATAGCGCTCATGAATCCTCCCACATGCACCTGTACTTTGAAAGCACAACATTATTTAAGGCAATTGCTATTGAGAGTCAGTAAACAATTACTAAATTATTATACAGCTGTCACAAAGCTGTCAGGTGACCAATGCTCAAAATAGGATTCGGGCAATTTTCCCATCTGTTGCTGTGAGAGCTTAATACTAATAACAACAAAGGATTGCTGCACGCTGCGGCCATGTGATTCAGCCATTACAGGTCTACGTTAATGCCTGAAACCAGGTCAGAATAAAGTGGTTCCTGAATCTGGTGTAGAAAGGGGGGTGACCAAACATTTCCCAACTCTGTTGACCTGCCTCCATTATGGAACATTACCTTTTTTTTTTCATTAAATCCCACGCATGCCTTCCCTCTGGATCACTAAATGCAGCTCAGTCGTCAATCAGCGAAATTGCCTTGTCGACTAAAGCGAGGGATGGGTAGAAGGATGGATGAAGCTGGGTGGATGGAGTAGGGTAAAAAAAAAACAAAAAAACGGAGACAGCCAGCTTCTGATAAACACAGAGAAGCTCAATACAAACCTCACGGGCTACATGAGGTTTTACATAATCGAGGATGACTGGGAGGGAAATTGTGACTTCCAGAGAAGCAAAGAGGAGTCACAGTGGAAACAAATCAACCTGGTCATCCATCATAATACCTCTGTGGATTAAAGCAACACTTGATGGATATTTGACCCTATTAACACCCACGGTGATTGTAAACGATGTGCGGTTTGGCACAGTGTCGTGTAATTTTGGATCAGCGTGGTGATATAAGGACAAAACACACAGCAATTAATAACTAAATGATAAAAAAAAAGAAAAAAATGACACTACTGGATCCCTTAAGATTATACATGACGTTGTTTCTTACCACATTAAAGTGCAACAGCAATGGTGAATATTGTCGGGACATCTCCTCACCCTTGTGTTTGATACGACACACAAGCTGAGCAAGCAAACTAATGTTTATTGCCTATATTCGTCGCTATATTTATCGTTGCCTCACCTAGAGCCACTCTGGCAGCAGAAGCGTCATAGTTGATCCAGAAAGAGACCCAGGAGAGGATGGTGATGAGGATAGAAGGCATGTAGGTCTGCAGGATGAAGTACCCGATGTTTCTCTTCAGCTTAAAACTCAGGGACAGACGGGGGTAAGCACCTGTGAGAAAGGAGGAGGCAGGGTAAGAAAATACTGTTGGGTGTGAAATTTGCACACTATTTGCCGCAGATATCAGGTGTCCCGGACATTATGTGTTCTGATAATGCCGCTTTAGAGTCTACTCCCTCTTGCATTGCATATTTTGGGATGTTTGCAGACATCAGCACAAGTTTATGGTTTCTGATGTGCCACCTCAGTGAATCTATGGTTAAATTGAGGTGACGAAAAACTTACTTGAATGCCTGTCTTGATGATTAAATGCTACTTTCTGAGCATAGAGGGCAAGAATACAAGTCTCTGGAGTTGAAGTCAGACTTTTTTCTACACCTAGTTGTTAATTTCAGGTTTAGAATTCATCACATAAACAAGTTCAAACATTTATCATGTGTGGACACTGACGTTTTTGATGGAATGATTAAAACACGTCGACACGCGAATGTGTCTGAGTTTGTATGAATCTGTTTCCAGATCAGTTTGACCAAGTGCTTTCATGTGCTTGCATAGTTGCACAGACTGAAAGAAAGTGTCTTTGTTGTTATAACTGAAGTTATTCTGTTTGCTTGTTCTGATTGGCTTGTCGGGGTAAAAATGAGCTGTCCCAAACCTTCCAGTGATGAAAGAGATAGTGCCAAAGGCAGACTCCACAAAATGAGCTTCAAAAGACTTAAGGCTGAAACAAGCTTCCTCTAAAAGGAAAACCCATTCGGAGAGGTATTCAGAGGTTTGTTGCTTCTTTTACACTTGTATGCTGTATAATACACAACTTGTATACAAGTTATGTCAGTTGTGTGGCTCTTTGGATGGCAATGTTGGTCTGCCAGTCCACAACTGTGGTCCAGTGTGAAACATATTCCGATATTCTTGGTACCCAGAGCATACCATTGGTACCTGGTGTCACTTTGAGGCTATTTTTGGACATTTGTGGCTTTTGGGTAACTATTGAATGTACAGAAGGTGGAAGAATTAGCAAAAAAATAAATAAAAATGGTGATGTAACTATGGTGATCTCCAGACATGTTTTGTGTCTCAACATCTGTCTGATGGATTGCCCAAAAAATCAGTACACACATTCATGGTTCCCATCTCATATACACGAATGAGTTCAGTTTTTCCTTAAGTGTTGCTATGAGCTTCAAATTTGTGGTTTTGAGAGGACTGTTAAATTACTAAAAAAACTAGCTCCAGATTCACTTTTAATTTCTCATGAACATTGCTTTTCAGTGGATTTCAGCACCACAGTTTTATACAACGTTGGAAAACCAATACTACACAAAGTTGTGAAGCTGTCGACTGCACTTTTTTCAGCAGCTCTTTTTCCAAGCTGTTCCATTAAAACTAGATGATACTATTGATGACAAAAGCAACTATGCTGTGGGCTTCTCAGACTCATTTAGAGTACAGTAACTAGACCTTGGGTTTTCCATAGCAGACACACTCAGACAAAAAGCCATGCCTCTGCTAAACTGAGCGCTCTTCAGATCTACCTGTTCTCCACTGCTTTTTGTTTATACTCAGCACTGCTGGAGGTTTGATGGTTTGTCTGAAGATTTTTATTTTTTTTGCTTATCTCTGCTCTATTTGCCCAAAGAAGGTTTTTAGTAAAAGCAACTTATATCAGCACACACATTTGCCTCTTTAGGGAATTGGCTGCATTTTGGTTCAAGTTGCATAACCAAATTACCGCCAGGTGGAGGGATGGCACCATAAGAAGAGCTACGATGTACAGTTAATTGAAAAGTCATAGAAAGGAAAACAGAAGAACGATGAGTAAAACGGATTAAGACATTTTAATGAAAGCAGCTGACAATCCACCGGGCTCCTCCTGGAACGCCATCACTTAAATCTGCTGTTTCAATTAGCTAATGTTAACATGAGACACCGAGATGATCGTTGAAGTATTTATGAAACGAGGAAGCAGCTTGGGTAGAAAATAACAAGAGGGAGGTCCAATGGTGAACATCTATTATTCATAAAGGCAACAATGACATTGCTCATCCTTGGAGAGAAACATGACACTTGCATTGGATAAACGCCCAGAAACTTATGCTGATGTTTGCATTTCTGAGTGACCTGCAGGTTGGTCCCCTGCATTCTGCAGCAGACAGCACTTTAAAAGGGAATCCCCCATCTTTTATATGTCTTTATAAGGTAGCGAAATCATGCACACTGCAGGGAGAAACTTACTTGAATGTTAATAGTATACAAACATACACACACAAACATTGTCCCATTCTGAGTGAGCATTATGTTGTTAATAGGCTTCCTTGGAATGTGTGACCCCTGCAGACAAAAACAAGCTCTGGCTGGGGGAGTCTCTAAATTCTTGTTGCATTTATTTTAGGCTCTCATTCAATGCAGTAGCTACCCCAGAAAGTATATTCAGAAAAACCACTGTCCCGCTTACAAATGCTCGCTTGCCTGACAAATTCATGAATATGAAAATGCTGAAGAGATGAATATTTGATTGTATCAGCCAGCATTCTTTTTTTCTTTTCTTTTTCTTTTTTTTCTTATTTTGCTGCTGTTAAATAAGTCATGGTGTTTTCTGCCTCGCTGGGACAGTGCTTCATTCAAAGCTTTGTATATGTATTTGTACATTTGCATGACATTTTGCATTTCCGGGAATTAGCCCACGTCACTTTTCATATCGATAAGACGAAACGGCAAAGCAAGCCAGTATTTATGAATCGCAATAGCACCCTCTTTGCAGCCAGACGGTAAGAATAAAATCTAATACCGCAAGGAGCCATAGACAGAATGACAACAGCAGAATTTTGACTCTTCCATGATGTGTGAACTTGCTCACTAACATTACCTGTGGAGAAGACAACATTCTTGGAGATGAGCTTATGATCCACAATGGAGAACTGTGGCAGTTCAATCTTGTCCACCCCTGTCACAGCGTTATCACCTCCTCGCCAGTAGAATTCAATGTCATCTGTTGTGTAGCCATCTGAGAGGGGGGGCAGAAAACAGGAGTTATTGAGGACTGTTAAAGGTCTATTAATGTGTTCTCTTAATCATGTCTCATCTGGATCTCGTACAGTCCTGTTTATTAGTCGTTTAAAATGAGCAGGGATGTATTTTATATTGTGTTGACCACAGACACCCAATATTTGGTCTTTGGTTCACTGACTAAAACCATGAAGTCATCTGCAAAAAAAAAAACCTTATTGCGTGTTTACCTGTTTGGATGCACCGCATGTATACATTTGTGTGTTTGCAACTGCTGCTCAATTCATTTAACCCACTTTTACTTGCATTCTGTAGGTGTTAGTTGCACTGAACCGTGCCTTATGGCAAATGTATGAAACTCTGGCGTCTAATTCCATCACACTGCCAATTAGAAGCTATGTAATCATTATTTAGGTAATAGGGACATAATTTTAAGATTTTTTTTTGTGCCTTGACACTTTTTGAAGTACCAGCAGGCACTTGTGTCTATTTGTAACACATTATTTTCTAATCAAAATTATCCCTGTATGTGTTCTTGACACTGCTTGAGCCTCATCGAATAAATCACCATAATACAATATGGAAAGAAAAATGATAGGTAGTGAAATATGTTAGCTGTGTGTTATTTTATTTGCTCCATACAGCTGCCCGGTGCGATCGCAGTGTACAGTGGCCGCTGTGCAGCCACTACAAGCGTAGCACGTCTTCTCAAAGACCGTCTCAATTGAGCGGAGCACACGCCGACGTCTTGGTACTGCATGCTTAGCAAAAACAGCGTTGTGAAAAAACATGCGAAAAGGATGAATTATGAACTAAAGCTAAACATATAGGATGAGGGCGACCCTCGCGTAGCTCAATATATATGAGTCAACTTTATTATGTTTTGTCCCTTGAGCAGCTAAATGATTAATACAGAGAGCGAGGATGATTAAATAACGAGGCCTGGCATCCATTTTCATCGCTAAAAACTCAATAAAATCTGCAAAGGGACGAGCAGCACGTCCATTAATATTAATCTGAACCAAAGCTGCTCCCTCCTTGGCTCTCATTTTGGCCAAATCAGTAGAGACACGGACAGCAAAGCGGCCAGTGGGCAGGAGCAATAAATGATTGAGTAACATGGTACTCTGCAGTTGTAACCGAAGACAAGCCCTGTAAGAAAACGTCAAGAACAAAAGTAGAAAATCTTCATTAGACCGTGAAAGTTGGCTCTTGCATAAACCACTGCCTACTGTCTGCTCCGGTGCAGTTGTCATGTCTGCTGACTTCAGGGCATAAGAGCATTGGTCTCGGAGAGAGGAGAAGAAGGAGATGAGAAGAGGAGAGACAGGAGACAGCTGGGGTTAGTGCACTTTTTTAGAAGAGCGGTGCACCATTAAAACCAAACGAAAACTGCAAGAAAGTCGATTATAACAGCAACTTTCAAGGTAATATATATATAAAAAGCCCCATAAAGTATCACTACGTAACCTTGTCTTTAAATGCCTCTTTTTATGTGGCACTGAGATAGTTTTGAGTTCCTCTGTACCCGAGCAGAAGTTGCCGTAGCAATAAAACACTGTGAGAAAGTTACATGTACAAAAAGGCAGACTTGGTTCCAGAAGTTGATGACAGTATTGATTTCACATGTTGACATTTTGAAAAACTACAAAAGTCTTTAGAAGGGACACCAAACTACCCTTTACAGTGCTGCACAGTTAGGGTGTCATGTTTGTTTTAGAAGAACCAGCAGTGCCACATGACTAAAGACAAACACAACTAGTGTGTCAGAGTGCGGAGTTGCAACACACTTCTCTGCATGAAGACAACCAACTGAACATTGTCGTCTTACATCATAAAAATAATAAAACTGTTGCAGGCTCTCGCGTTGCATTTGTGCAAGTGCTTTTTAGGTAACAGCAGGAGATGGATTATTCCACAAACCACGTATGTTTCTAAGTATCTCTCCATGCAACATAGAAATCACATGCAATGTTTGCAACAGTTGCTAAGGCTGCCGCGGTGACAGTTTGCATGCCTGCTAGTTAGATCTTCCTGAGTGATTATTGCACTATAGTGTGTGTTTCATCGCATGCGTGGACATTGGCCCACTTTTTGTATTATTGTGTGCGTGTGTGACAAATACTTGCTGATGATGGAGAGATTTAGAAGCTGAAAGTGAATTAACATGTTTGATTTGCATGAGTATGCACCGGATGTTGTGTGTGTATGTGTGGGATGACGATGAAGACGGGGCCGGGCCGGGTGACATATGAAAGCGTGTTTGACAGAACAATTTCGGGGGACTCCCACGCTGGCTCATTGATTAATGCATAAAATATAGAATGTCATACCACACCTCCTCTCTCCATTTCCTCTTCCTTTTCTGGTCTCCTCGCACACACACCCCCCTGGTTGTTCTGTGTTTGTCTCGGTTCCTCTCACCGCTTTCTCCATATTTGATTACACTCCTTCTCTCCTCTTGTCATAACTACCACTATGTGTCCATCTATCTTTACCTCACCTCTTCTTCTCCCTCCCCGCCCCCTGCTCTCCTTAATTAATACTTGTGTGACCTATTTAGTCGCTGTGCATTAATAAGGCAGACTCGTCAGTGGCTGTCTTCGGCACACTCTGACGTCTCCTGTTTCTCTTGATGAAAGTGGATTTGGCCGCTCACTGTGAGTCTCAAAAAAGAGCTCATTTTCCACCCATGTGCTGTATAGTCTAGCTATCATCACCTTGCATGAGAGATAATCAATAAAATATCCAAACGTATTCCAAAGGGAATGGATTCCCAAAGGACATTAAAACAATAAACTAAAATGAGATTACTTCTTCTACTGGTTCCAGTAAAAAAAAAAATGGCACATCCATTTTGAAACCAAATGCAGACGATTAAATGTTTCTCTGCTAAGTGCAGAGTATCAGGAAATTCTATTAGTCGAGATAGGATGAAATAAAAGCAGGTCAGGTCAGGGGGAGACAGAGGTAACTTAATTTTGGATACATTTCTTAAGTGATAAAACTGCGGCTGAATAACCTCCCTACTTCCGATTTAAAATTCAAATTTGAGTCAATGAGTTCAGTCCCTGGAGATCATCAGCAGAGGATGAAAATCGCTTTTATTAGTGACTTAGCGATCTTTCCCATTATTCAACCACCGTACACAAAATACATCAAAATAAGACCGCTGTTAAATTTACAACAATCATTTTCTCTAGAGGGTGAACCCTTTCTATTTTCCTTTCATATAGCCTCACACCAAAGTGTCAACTTTTCCAACAACATATATCTCAGGATGTGCTGAGTGATTCCTGGTGCACTGTTGTGATCCCTGCAGAGTAAAAACCCTTTGATTTTAATGAGCTCACGGTCTTTCCTCTGGCATCTCGGGACAAGCTTTACATTCTAACTACAGCATGCAGAGAAAAATGTACACTATTGTTGAAAAGCGCTGCTTTGGCATTGTGATACAGTGTTTGGTGTCGGCAGTTTCTTATGACAGAACGACTACACTCAGACACTCTGTGTATTGTATACTGTATATTTACATTACAGAGGAGTGACTGTGTGGCATAGCTTAAACTAAATCTTACTCTGATCTTCACATTTTGGAGCGACCTGCTTCCTCCTAACTGTACTGCTTCTACGTCACTGAGGCTGATTTGGCAATTTTCCATCACTTTGCTCTCACATGAAACTTACTGTGTCACTGTGTTTGGCACAGATAGATTGCCCTGATTTCCATCATTCATGAAATTAACTGAAAGGAACAGAGGCAGTGAGAGGGAGAAAAAGTAGAAAATAAAGACATAATCTTTAGCATGTGTATTAACTATGAAACGATAAAATGAGAAAATTAGCGTCTTGGCTGTTCAGTGGCTTTAGATGCAAACTCAAGCCCTCAGTGTGACAAAGGAAAACGAAGCACGAGTGTGACAATATGTATTTTATGCCGGCACAAAGGCTTCTCTTATGGATTCCAACGTCTGAGGGAGCTGGCAGACCAAAAATAAATGAAACTGTTCACGATAACATCAGAGAAGATAGCAATACAATACTAAAGCTATTTAAGTGGGACTCTGGCATATCTCCCTGAACAAATCTGACTCCAGGCCTTTTTATCAAGCTTATGAAATAATGTCTCAGTTGATTTGTTTTAATGGGCAAAGAAGGATTTTGGAAGGAGATAAAACACTGGCTTTGATATTGCTCTGGGCAAAACATAATCAGGGATAACAAAGGTCTTTTTTTTTTGTTTTTTTATTTTTTTTTTACCTGCTATGAAACATCATATACCTGTGGTAACACTTAAAGAATAATAGGCACAGTTGTTGCGGTGACATATGTAATAAAAGTCATGCACAAAAAGCACTCGTAGCAAAAAAAATGATCTTTTTATTTGATATTTGATAATGTTTGCATGCATAATGTTTTATATACTGTGCAACTACTGTCAAAGAACTATACCTTAAATTTAAAAGATATCACAACTCACTACTTTATTGTGCATGAATAGTATTATTGAAAATGATGAATGACACTTTAAAAAGTAATTCAACATACCTTTTCCCACCACCTAATTAAGTTATCTAACTTTAAAGCTGCAAACATTGTCTTTATGGGTTGTGTTGACATAACAATGTTACTAATTGCATCAACTTAATATTGTGTGTAATTTAAACTCCAGTTTCTGTGTTGGTTGATTGAAAACTAATTTCAAGTTAAAGTGACTTAATTTAAACGGCTTGATGACTTTTCTTCACCTTGAGTTCACAATTTCAAGTCCCCTCCCTTATGACTATGACAATTTTGACTTTAATTAAAAGTAATTTTGATTATTGAGGGAAAGCTGATCCCTATAACGCAGTGTAGTTTGTTGGTTGTTTGATTAGAAGTTGTCATAATTCTAAGAGACTGATGCTCATCTTTTTTTTTTTTTTGCTGAGTGCATCAAACAACCCTTTAGATTAATCCTGAAAGCAGACGGAGTTAAGGAGAATCTGTGTAAATGAC